AACCACTTAGTTTTTTTTTTTTTATCCTTTACAGCCTTGTGGAGGCACCCACTCTCTTGTTCCTATTCTTTTTATTACTATACATTGATTCTCACCTGTAAGAAGGTCAGCCATTGTAGGTCATAGGGGCAATTTGTTTCTGGCATCAGCTCTCAGCATTGGTCTAGTGGGAGTTCATCACTCTTACTTTTTTACACCTGTAGACTCCCTTTCCTGCTGGCTACTGGGTTACTAGGATGCTTTCTTGAGGGTTTTTCTCTACCCTTCCACTCTCCACTTAACCTGATTAGAATACCCTGAAACAAATTGTCAACCCCATTCTGGGCTTTTAATTCCATCATTTTGTTGTTCTCCCAATAACTGGAGGTTGTCATTCTGTCATACATACAGTATTTCCTACTTGAACCAACTTTTGTCTTTCCTTGGTTAAGATGAATGTTTTTTTCACTCTGCAGTGGGCAGTATCTTGGGATGTAGTTGAGGTGGATGTGCTTTCTCCACATTCCAATTCATTTGCCCACCTCTTGCATCTTTCAGTTCTTCCATAATGATTGGTCATTAGATTCACAGCTCATCTGTTTCTCATTCATTCATTAAGCTTTTGCTTGGAGGTTACATTTCTGGGGCCAGTTGTTCCAATATTTCATCAATGTTTAACTTTCACTTTTACCTGCCCTATCTAACATGGCTTCCACTGTTGCGACTTCTCTAAAACTTCTTCAAAAGTCATCTTATTTGGGGTGGTTGGTTCAGCTCTACAATTTAGTCTAGACCCCCATCTAGTATCTCATTCACTTGGGGTCTTTGTTATTTTGTACATGGGATAAGCTTACCTTCCTCCTTTATATCTTAGAGACACGGGGCTTTTGATACCAAGGAACTCGTACCTTCATAATTTCCTACACAAGAGGATTTCTTTCTTTTGGAGAGACTTCTTGTGCATCCCTTGTCCCATTTAGATGTGCTCATGTGTGTCCCCTTCAGAAACCAAATGTTGTTTTTCCCCTGTCATATTTGTGATAGCTCACTCAATCCACACAACATGGAACATCTCTTTTTTTTTCCCACCTCACTTGGACTTAGATCTGTTTGGAATCCTCCAAGGTTCAACAGTGTGTTTGAGAGGTTCTGGCACTCACATATATGGTTTTACCTACCTGTGGTGGCTGTCACACGGGTTGCACATTGACTCTGTATATTTGGTGACAGCCAAACCTCCAAACACAACCTGTCAACCTATGCCTCTTTTCAATCGGGGTGAAGTTCTGAACACATGATCCACTTCCAGAGTCTGGTTTTCAGAGGAGCAGTTTCTCTATATGTCCTTGAGATGTTAGCTGCTCAGTTGACTTGTCATCATCTTTCTAATCTGTCTGATCTTATCGTGATCCATTCAGCCATCTCCTCTGTTGTTTCTTCTATTCACTGACAGGGAGGCACTTGCTCTTGGGACCCCTTTTCTTTGCTCTAGACTTTTTCTTTTGTTAGTCTGTTATAACTTGGAAACTTAGGCCCTGGTGGCAGATTGCTATCTTATCTAGATCAATCCTTCTCACAGAGTAGTCTATCCTCTGGTGTTTTCATTGAATTTCTTTCAGTTATGAGAATCCTATCATCACTGCCTGTATAACTCCTCAATACCTAGCTTCGGTTCTTTTGGTTTCCAATCACAGAATCTACAGCTTTGGCAGAGAAAACTGTGTCTCAAGTGTTTTAATCTCTGTTTTATGCTTCAAACGTATTTTGTCTTTCTCACCTGCAGTAGCCATTGCTCTCACTTTTGCCTCAATGGTTTCCAGTACTATTTACCTTGGACAGGTGGATTTTATTGCTGGTCTGCTTGGAAGGATAATTTGGATATTTTCTGTAATTCACTCTTCCTTCCTATTTTTTTTTTTTTTATATATAAATATGCATTCCAAACCTTATTGTCCTCTGTATCCTCTTTGGGAAGCTTGGCATTACCTTGCTGCAATTGCTCCAGTATGTGGCAATTGCTGTTGTCTTTTCTTTCTATGGGATCCTTCTTTTTCTCAAGACTTGTTACCTTCCATTTTAACCAGTTAGGTTCATCAGTCTATCTGGTTTGTTTATTCTTCCATGGGAGAACTCTGAACTTTATCAGATAATCTCCCATCAGGTTCATCACCTCATTTTTTCATCTCTCACTGCAGAAGTATCCTGGAAATTTCACTGGTAAAGATGTGGATGACTCCTGACACATGTCCCATTATTTGCATCACATGGCATTTTCATCTCCTTTCAGTTACCTTTCTCCAGTTTTCCCAGAGACTAGTGAGGCGAGCATTAATTATTATGCTGTTGTTTTTGTTTTTTAACACATTCCTCATCACAATTATTAGATATTGATGTGTATCAACTAGAGCCAATGGAACCCATATAATGGCTGGTGATGCCTCACTGGGAATACTTCTCTTTCTTTGGAATGTACAGAAAGTGTTAAGCCTATTTGCCCTTGCTCCATTTCTGCTGTTGAGATGGAGTTTTCCTAAGATTGCTTCGTTAGCATATATATATATATATATATATATATCTTCCAGTCTATACTTCACATAGAAAAAAAGGCAGCACCAGGTGTGTGTGCCTGTCCTCACATCTGTCTAGTGCCTTCTTTCCTAAGTTTTGATAACACACTGTGCAATCTGTTGATGTGGGATCTTATGCAGATATGACATTTCCTAAGCATTCTGAGTATTTTTATGGTGTACTTCCCCCATGTGAATTCCTCCTTCCCATTTTCTTCTAGTATTGTAAGAGAGAACCCTTGTTTCCGCAGTTCCAAGCTGTTGGGGAAGTGAATGGGTGGACACACCCCTAGATGAAAAGTAGGGCTGAAGTGTAGTACAAGCCACTCTACTATATTATGAACTAAGTTCTTTCCGGGAGTTAGTCCAGCTAGATGGGTCTTGTTTTTTTCTCAGGATGCAGGTCTGGGATACTTTCTCCCTACACCTGATTGTTAGTATCCCACATAAGTATTTCATCACTGTGGAATGGTCTGATTTATTGCCATAGCTGCACTACACACTCATGCTCAGATGACCACTTGTGAATAATGGCTGGTTGAGTGATCTTACATTCTGCACACCTACCAAACTATGTGACACTTTAGCACCATGCAAAAAATTTTTCTTGACTGTCTTTTTCTCTTCACTTATTTTGGGTGAAGAGCATTCCCTGCTGCTTGAGATGGATGCAATCATCTACCGAGTGATGTTCCACAAGGCTATCTGCTCTAGTGGATGACTAATTTTGTAAGTTTTCCCTTTTCTGATGTTATATTTAAAAAAAAAAGATTATCCTTGTGATACCTTTATTTGCACTGGCTCTTCCACTATCTTTAATGGGGGATTCTAGGGGTTTTTTTTTGTGCAGACAGGTGAGAAATGTTTCTGAAGTTAACATTTTCCTTACCTGGAAATGTATTTCAGATAGATACTCGCCTCTCTTCCCAATCTCTAGCCTTTTCTTCCCACTTCTAGTGGATTTCTTTTATTTCATCAAGAATAAACCTTTGCTAGTGCTAAGTTTGTTGATTAATGATGCTGAGTGTATTAATCTGTGTAGAGTTGATTCAACTAAGGTAATGTTTAGAAATAGATGTTAAGTAAACTAGTTGGTATAGTTTGTTCATCTAAGGTTAAGTTTGGAGATTAATCTTGAATGAATTAGTTTGTATAGAGTTGATTAGCCTAAGGTAATGTTTGGAGATTGATGTTGAATGAATTAATTTGTGTAGTTGTTTCAACTAAGAATAAGCTTTGAAATTAAGACACTGCTACAAAATTGAATATACTTTGGAATTTGAAGACTGAGCAAACTGATGCCCAAATGCTAAGAGAAGGTACAATATTGAACAAGCTATATTAGGTGTGTATTAAAAGACTTTCAAAGGATTTTAGTGAAAGTTACATTTGTTTACACTTGTTTTTAGCATTATTAAATCGGTGGTTGCACTGGAACTTATTTTGTGCATGTCACCATTTCTTTAAAAGTTATTTATGAATTTACAGAGGAGCATTCCACATCTTGTTACATATTGGATTATTTAGAAAATAGACTTATATCTGTCGGAATGTGATACTAATTTTGACATGTTTATATATCTTGGATAATTGTGCTTTAATATTAGTTTAGGCTTCAGGCATAAAATAGTTATTTTTACTGGCCCTTTTTTACGAGATACAACAACCTTGGAATTAGTGGTATGTGTAATTTATGGATAACTACTCATTTTTTTTCTGGTTCTATTTGAATTTTTGTTGCACTTATCTGAACAAGGGATTTTAGTTTAGTCATTCTTAATTTCCTTAAGAAATTATCTGTATGCTTAACTATATTTATAGATTAACAGTGAATTTAATAGGTAAATCTTCTGAAAATTATGGACTTTAATCTTTTCAATGTTTTTAGTCAGTAAAGAATAAGTGGTTTTGAGTTTTCATTTAATATCCATGTTCTGAAAGTTAAAGTTCCTGCCTTCTCAATATGTCTATTCACTAGAATAATAAGTGACAGAGTTTATTTTGTCACTAAATGTCCCGAAAATTATAGTTCCTGACCTTCCCAACACGTCTTTCTTCAGTAGAAGAATGAACACTTGGCTGAAGTTTATATTTAAACAAGTTTGCTGCTTTGTCATTCTGTCAGGTTTCAGTATAACAATCTTCCTTGGAATATGGAAAGTTTGGTAATATGCAACTTCTATAATTTAACCTACTGTTCAGCTGGGATAGTGAAGTTTTATGTTTCTGTTCAAATAATGTTTGACACTACCAGTAGTGACATTTATGCTTATTGCATCCCTTGGATCTTACACTGACTGAAGAGTGCTCTAATGGAGATGCCTTTTAGTTGTAGATCATTAAATTCCATTGTGTCAGTAAAATACCATTATGTGAAGAGATCTGTTTTAGATTTTAAATATTAAGGCTGGAATTATTAGTTTACCTTTGTTTTTTTTTCTTTATTAAACACAGGTTCCAGAAAAAGTGAAATCAGCTGGAAAAAATGGTGATGGTAAAGAAAATGCTGAAAATTCAGAAGAGGTATTTATACATTTATAGATCTCATTAGTGTATTTTACAACTGGTTTTCTTTAAAATAGGATGTTGCAACAGTAAGTATTCTTGACAAGTAGGGGTGATTAAGTTGCTTTTGAAATCTTATTCAATCATAAGTCTTAATATTAACTTTTACCTGGTTTCTAAAACATGTATATAAAATACATTTTGTCAGAGAAGAAAGTAATAGGTACATCAATGTTAAGGTTCTTCCAAGAGCAGAATATTACCAGTTACAAAACAAACTCCATATCTTCTAGGTGTGCAAGTGGTTTTATTTTGTGAACTGTAACCCTCTTTGCCCCTGGCATCATTTATTGCACATCATAAGGTTTTGGTGACTTACATTCAAAATTCAATTAAACTACTTTTTGTTTATGTTATACCAATTAGTATAGCATAAAATTTTAGCTAATAAACCATATTTTAATAGTGTACAAGTTTTAAGTTCTTAGTTCTATAAGGCAATATTTAAGAAAAACCTGAATTTCTCTATTTTATTCACCTCTCCTCCAATAAGTATGAAATTAAACATAAAGTACTCACTATAAAATCTTCATTGCTCAGACAAACCATAATTTTTATATCCTTCAATCTTGTTTGGTTACAGAGCTATCAAATAGAAAATCAGACCCCTCTTGCCACACCCACCTGTCACATCCTCTCTTTCAGGATTTGTTAATAGTTTGCTCTTACTCTTAATATTAAATTATGTGTAACCAATGAAAAGCCAAGGTTTTCATCTATCAAATGACGTATTATATTACATTGTTTTCTGAACAGAGAATTGTCATTTTCTCTGTTAGTACAAGCTTTGTTCCCTCAAGAAAGATAATGACTCGCTTGGATGAATTTGTAACAGCTCTTGTCACATAGTTAGAAAGCCAGAAAAATTGTGGTAGTTAGAGGAAATTGTCTGCTTTTTGCATGTTGTTATTCCGTGATCTTTTGTGCGTTGTTTAATTAAATAAAAATTTAGTGGATTACTACCATTAGTATAAAAAAAAAAAATGTAGGGTTAAGTGTCATCTACAGTCGACAGCAAAAAAAACTTGGGTAAGTACTTTATTTCTGGTTTTTTTTCATGTTTATTCTTTATTATTATAAATGTAAAAATATAGGGATGTCTTTAGGTTAGTTAAGATTAGATTAGGTGAAATAAATAATAATATAATAAAAAATTTTCATGAGGCATGCATGTGAGCAGCTCAAAATAGCTTGTGGGTAATGTAATTCGATAGCATAACGTGATCTCCACATTCCCCAAGTGATATACAACTTAAGATGGCATGAATATTAGTTAATGTGGTTCAAAGTGCTATAAAACAATAAAATATATGTACAAATAGATGCATGCTGTTATGAGTTTAAAACTACTTAGGATAAACAAATGTAGTTTCATGTTACAATTTGAAGTTGTTCTAGAAAGAAAAAGGGATAATTTAGATTATTATTTTTTCATAACAATAAACTTAGCCACCAAATGTGTTGAAGGTAGCAATTGATAGAGGGTATCAACCTCAAATCATGGATAGGATGTACAGTAAATATTATAACAAACTTCAAATTTCTGGATGTACAAAATTGGAAATAACAAAAAAGGAAAATAGAGAAATAATATGTATGCCTCATGTTTTACCATGGTCAATAAAAATAGATAATGTGTTTAGGCCAAACTTGAATTACCAAGTAATATTTACTCCTCAATTAAAATTAAGTCAGATACTTAATGGTTTGAAAGACAAAATTGAATTGAGGGATAAATGTGGTATATACAAAATATCATGTACTTGTTGTATAAGTTACATTGGACAGACAAATAGGAACCTTAAATTTAGAGTAAAAGAACATCAAAATACTGTTGATATACTAAAAACAGGTGAATTGGCTTTGGCAGAACATGGCAAATTTTAAAGATTATTGATTGGGATAATGTAAAAATTATTAAACAGTTAACAGACAAAGATGAATTAAATATGAGAGAATCTTTAGAAATTGCTAAAAACAAAATAAATTTAAATAGAGATTTAGGCCCAGGAGTCACCAAAGTAAATTTTTGAAATTATTGTTGTAAATGGTGCCAATGTACTTGTATGGTAATTATACACGTACCTTTGGTTTGTAAGCAGTGTTATGTGTACTTCTTGATGGATTCTTTTGAAGATGGTGTAATTATTTCCACCGAAACATGTAGGATTTTAAGTTTCTTTTAACTTGTATATTTTTAATTTTTTAACTTTACAAATAAATGTTTGTTCAAGTAAAAACTTTGATCTTCGTTTTATTGTTTTATTTAACATCTTTGCACAAGAACTGTCAGTTTTTACATATTAACTTTTAAGCAATTTTCAGCATTTATGTCAGATGTGAAATACTTTGACATATTTCAGGGTTTAACTTCACTGATTTATTTTTTTCCAGATGACAAACTCAAGTAATGAACAAAACAACAAAATGCCAAATAATACTCCTCCTCCCACACAACTTACCAAGATCAAGTGTGCTGGACCTACGCTAATTAAAAAAGATAAACGACAAACATCATCAAGGTTTAACACCTCAAAAAACAGAGAATTGCAGAAACTTCCTTTAATAAAGGGCATGTTTTTGTTTCATTCTTCTTTAAAATAATGTTGAAGAATATGGTATTTTGTCAGTTCCTTGAACTGCTTCTGGGTTAAGTTCTGAAGTAAATTGCATGTTGGTATGCACTGAAGCCTTTATCTAAACCTTGGAAAGATGCAGTTTTTAGAATAATTCAGTACATGTAGAGAAGTATATATATTTTTTTAACATTTTCTGAAATTCTGAATAAAATGTTTATTTTAAGAGTGATTTCTGGAAACTCTTGGAACGTTTTAAAAGTTATTTTCTCATGATGAATATTCTTTATGTAGATGCATCTCCGACAGAGCGAGAGGAACTGTTTGGCCAGAAAATTTTGCAGTGCTGCGTTCTATTTGACTTTTTGACAGACCCTTTAAGTGACCTCAAATGGAAGGAAGTTAAAAGAGCTGCCCTTCATGAAATGGTCGAGTACATCACAACTCAGAGGAATGTTATAACAGAACCCATTTATCCTGAAGTGGTCCAAATGGTGAGATTTTAATATTAGTTATTACTGGAGTCATAATCTTATGCTAGAACACATTTACCCTGAAGTGGTCCAGATGGTGAGGTTTTAATATTAGTTATTACTGGAGTCATAATCTTATGCTAGAACACATTTACCCTGAAGTGGTCCAGATGGTGAGGTTTTAATATTAGTTATTACTGGAGTCATAATCTTATGCTAGAACACATTTACCCTGAAGTGGTCCAGATGGTGAGGTTTTAATATTAGTTATTACTGGAGTCATAATCTTATGCTATAACACATTTACCCTGAAGTGGTCTAGATGGTGAGGTTTTAATA